CCGCAGTAACGTTTCCAGAGCCAGGCACAAAACGGCGGACGGTCCCTTCTTTCGCCTCTGTCAGTGCGCCCCAGGGTGGCTGTGGCTACAATGTAGCTGCCATCACCAGTGTGTGAATGTGTGGATGACAGGATGTGTAAAGCGCTATACAAATACAGGCCATTTACCATTCTTTTCCTGCAAAGTCTGTTCTCGGGGGCGGAGCTTCCAGAGAAAACACCCCTACTTTGTTTTTTGTCTTCATTTGTGTTGGAAGTGACAGCAGAGCTGTACGTTTGAATTCTTTCAGAAATCTCTCAGTCAGAACATGCTATCATGTTTAGCTAGCGAGCTAACTTCCTGCTAACTTCTAACTCTGTTAGATGTAATAAATTCTGTTTTCATGGATGTTAAACTTAATTGTTCCACCTGGTAAAGCAGCAACGCTGATGATTTTATTAAAGATGCAGTGATGCTGCAGTGTTCGTCTGAAACAGCTGATGACGTCAGACTTAAAGAGCAGATAACATTCTTGTGAATATATAAAAATAATTATCACAACACCAAATTATTAAAAATGATTAACAATATAAAAAAACTAAATTATGTTTAGAGGAGAGATTTAGTCCAGTCATGTTGTACCACACAGTAAGACACATTTAAAAAGTTTAAATATTTGAAACTGGAACGAGCGGTTTAAATACACGTCTGAGCTTTTTAACAACCTGGCACTGAACACTGAGAAAACCAAAGAGGTCATTGTTGACTTCAGGAGGCACTGACCCCCTTTACATCAACGGGGAGCATGTGGAGAGGGTCCACAAGGACCAACAACAGCTGCACCTTCTGACAGTCCTCGGGAAGCTGAACTCCAACCTGCTGCTGACCTTCTACCGCTCGTCCATTCAGAGCCTGCTAACTTACTGCATCGCAGTATGGCTGCACCAAGGCGGTCAGAGCGAGGCTTCAGATCATCGGCTGCGCTCTCCCCTCCTTGATGGACATTTATTCCTCCCGCTGCCTCAGCAGAGCAGCAAACATCATCAAGGACAGCTCCCACCCTTCTCCCCAAAGACCATAACCACCCTGAAGTCACACAGGCACCAATAACACACTCCCTCACACCAGTTTTCCCATTTCCCTCCATCAATCACCACCAAGAAAAGAGATCGTGGAGACATTTATCTCTGACCTTCTCATTGCCTCGATCACTCGATCACTCAATCACTCAATCACTCATCTCACCAATCCGCATACCGTCAGAACAGGAGCACAGAGGATGCAGTCTCCATCACGCTGCACTCTGTCCTCTCACACCTGGACAACAACAACAC